CTTTTACCACGGCCTTTTCCCCCGAAAAATATCCCATCATTCCTCCTGACACGACGCACTGGTTTTCGTGTGAACCTCCTCCACCTCCGCTTTGCCTGCTGTAATAACCAGAACAGGTGTTCGGCACGCTGATTGTCACTTTCCATACGCATGATATCTGACCAGTCTAAAGCTTCAACACCGTCTGATGATATGGCATCGGTGTCGGCGCCGGAGTCGAAATCGTCGTCTCCCAGGTAGGTGGATACACCGTCGTTTAGGTGGTTGGCTTCGCCCCATAAAGAACGGCGTGGTTGAGGTTCTCTAGAAGGGGGGCTGGTTGCCCAGCTTGGTTATGATCGATCCCCTGTTAGTAGGGCAGTAAACTCACCAGGATCGTCGGCCCATATGCTTGAGGGCCCGTTGCCAGGCTGAGCTTCGGTGGTTAAGGTAGTGTAACAGTTTCCACTACCAGTTCCTCTTCCCCTTCCAAATACTGATCCTATGTTACCAGGAGACCGTTCTGACAGATGGCCTATCGAACGCATCCTCTCCAACAACTCATCATACTATTGTTGTGTTCGGGGCATTTGGTGGTTGAGTGGCTGTAAGAGTTGCATGGCTCGCTGGTTGCCAACGCCTAGGGCGCGGAATAGGATAGTAGTGAGCAGTTGGAAGTTGGGAAGGTCAATACCCATCGGCCGTGCCTCAAGACGGGCCATCTCGAACCGAGTGAGGGTTACATCGATTCGTTCTCCGTGAGGCACATGAAAGTCGATGAGCTGTGTGCCTGAAGTGAGCTGGCGCTCATCTTCCAGGCGTTCGAACTTCATGCTTAGGAGGAACATAATGTAGGTTACTGGGTCGGTGTGGACACCATCGATGTCCGCACCGTAGTTTATCATGTCAGGTGGTACCCTCATGGCGAGTGTCCTCGCTAGGCCGCCCAGGCCGCGTTGCATGGCGGCTGCTTGGGCCTGTGGCGTCATACGTCCGCTTTTGACGTTGAGCCACGCGTTGACCTCATAAACGTACTCGCGGAAAGGTGCGTTGCCTTGAGGGTCCCAGTATGGGCCATGTGTTTGCCCATCGGTGCTGTTGTCTCCTCGGCGCATGTGTCCGATTGTTGCCCCCAGCGCAAACCATATGCTGGCGAAGATAACCAGCCCAAGGCTGTGAAGATATGGGTGGTTATCAGGCGCGTTGCCGCGCTGGGGTAGCGCCTTGTTACGTCTTCGAGGCGTTTTATCTTGCGGGTCTCCCCGCCTCTGCTTCAAGTGCTGCGCTTTTGGCTCGTTGCCGAGCGGTTAGTAGTAGCGCAGTGATGAAGCGTATATGGTGCCAGTGTTGTTGTCTACACGTCGTACCTGTCGTGTTGCTTCTTGCTCTTGAATTGATCCTCGTAAATGTAGTTGAAGTGGTGGCGCAGGGTGGTAGTTGGTCACGAAGATCGTGCAGGATAGCGTGAGGATAAGAAGAGCAAGAGCTGACCACACGAGAGTGCGGCCAGCTCCGCTACCAAGTCTGAAATTACTATGGTAAGTCAATTAGCATCCGATCCCATGGGAAGCGGATGGCAAATAGCGTCCGGTATCGTACTGAGGTGGTTCAGTAAGAGGAATGGACGGATAAGATAGGATAAAATCGATGTAATGATCTTTCCAGCACATAGCGAAAACAAGCAGTGTCCGGGCAAATAGGGCGCGCGTGCCTTGAGCCAAAGGCAACGGCGCGCGAGCTATACTCCCGATCCTATATAACATCTCCCAAAGAGCTACCCTTAAAGTGGAGGCCCCTGCCAAGAAGCACCCTGCTGGCCTCCACTGGGTGCCCTGGGCTCCTTGGGGTTGCCATGGCCCTTCTCTGTGGAAGGCGCCCTGGGTTCCTTGGAAATCGTTCAAAAACCTTCGGTTTCGGAAGGATTTCAAACTCGAGTGCCCGAAAAACATACAAAAACATCTGGTTTCGCAATACGGATGTAAAACAAAAGCGTGCGCGCGCTGATGCATCGTCGTCGTCGTCGTCGTCGTGGCCTCCAGGGTGCCCTGGGCTCCTTGGGTTTCCATGGCCCTTCCCTGTGGAAGGCGCCCTGGGGCACACACATAAATAGACACAAACAACAGGATTCCCCATGCGTTCAAATAATTTCCGGATGTTCGTCATCCCACGCATTTCAAGATTGTTCCGTTTTTTCCTGGGAGTCGTCGATTAATTGTGTTTGTGTTTTCCACTCCTGAGCTGTGACGCTCCCACAGCAAAACTCAATGGACGTCCTGGGGCTCAAGGTTGGATTTCCTGTGGAAGGTTTCTTGTGGTCGGGCCTCCACCGTATCTTCCGCGATAACGGCCGTTACCGGCCATGGCCGCCCCGCCCCCCTCCCCCCCAGGCAGCGTCACGATTCGTGCTGACCTCCGAACTGGCTTTGGTTAGTTCTCCTGTCTGCAATAAGAATAGACTCTACCCCCCTCTGGAACTATCGATCTCCCTTTTCGTATTGCAACTTACATATGATTCTGCCCCATCGTCCATCCGACTCGTGAGTTCATACTGTCCCAGCAATGCTGGTATCGACCACCCCACCATCCTCTGTCAAAAAAGTATTATGCGCGCCCACTCGTTTATCACAAATCACAAGTTTTCAAACATTCCTTGCAACAAATGGGACGAAGTGCGCACGCCCGCGTCGTCGCGCGCGCATGCCGAAATCCTGAAAAAAACCTTCGGTTTCGGAAGGGGTTCACAATCGAGATTCCGAAAAATATACAAACACTTAAAGGTTTCGCAACACTGAGATTGTTATAACAAAGCTTACACGCGCGCTCTTGCGAAATTCAAGAAAACCATGGTTTTACAACATGGACGTAGAATGCTACCAAACGGGCTTTGCGCGCGCATGTCGACAATGTTCGATCGCCAATGCGCGCGTGCCGTCGCGAGAATCCCCTGCAAAAAAATGGACGAAGTGCACACGCGCGCGCAGTCGCGCGCACATGCCGAAATCCTTCAAAAACTTTCGGTTTCGGAAGGATTTCAAAATCGAGTGCCCGAAAAACATACAAAAACATATGGTTTCGCGACACGGATTTTCAAAAGCGTGCGCGCGCGCTCATGCATCGTCGTCGTCGTCGTCGTCGCCGTCCTCCCTCCTCCCTCTTCGTCGTCGCCGTTGTCGTCGTCATCTGTCATTCCTCGTCATCGTCCTCTTTGGCGTCGTCGTCGTTTCCGTCGTCGTTGTCGCCGTGGTCGTCCTTCCTCCTCCCTCGTCGTCGTCGTCCGTCGTCGGCGTCTCGTCGTCGTCCCTCCTATTTTGTCGCCGTCGTCGTCGCCGTCGTCGTCGTCTTCCCTCCTCCCTCGTCGTTGTCATCATCGGCGTTGCCGTCCTCCCTCCTTCTTCGTCGTTCGCGTCGTCGCCGTCCTCCCTTCGCTGTCGTCGTTGTCGCCGTCGTCGTCCTCCCTCCTCCCTCGTCGTCGTTGGCGGCGTCGGCGACGTCGTTGTCGTCGTCGTCGTCTTCGTCGTCGTCGTCGTCTTCGTCGTCGTCGGCGTCGTCGTTGGCGTCGACGTCGTCGTCCTCGTCGTCGGCGTCGTCGTTGCCGTCGTCGTCGTCGGCAACATCGGCGTCGTCGTCGGCGTCGGCGTCGTCGTCCTCGTCGGTGACGCCGTCGTCGTCGTCGTCATCGTCTTCGTTGTCGTCGTCGTCGAAATCGTCGGAGACGTCGTCGGTGCCGTCGTAGTCGTCGTCGGCGTAGTCGTCGTGGTCGTTGACCATGTCGTCGTCGGCGTCGCTGTCGTTGCCAAGTGCCATTTGGTACCCACCGTGACGGTCTTAAGAGGCCTTGCGACCAAGTTGCGGGTGGGAGGGTGGGATGTTTGCACGAGCAGTGGAGAGGGCAGCTTCAAGACAGTCAAAGTGAACTACGTCCACAGACCTTCCCAGACGGCGGCGGCGCGAATCGTGACGTTACCGGCCCCCGGCCCCCCTTCCCCGGGACCTGATCCGCCCGATCCTCTTCCGAGGGGGGGCAACGCCTCAAGCAGTGGCGAAGCGTCCGGGCTCGCTTATAGCCCCACCAAACAATGTTCTAAGAACCCTTTTGTGGTGTCCACGAAGTGTTCTTCGAACATGTCTGGCTGGGACTGTTTTGTTTTATCACATCGGTTTTATGTTCTAAGAACATCGGGTTTATCACATCGGCACCTCCTCCGCCCGATCCTCTTCCAAAGGGGGGCGAAGCCAGCCGCGGCAGGCCGAGCGGGCGCAGCAGGGGAGCGCGTGCGGCCGCGGCCGCTCGTCGAGGATCGGCCACGCGCAAAAACGGCCCTGGGCAAGAGTGACCTGTGGAGCGCGGCTTTGGCTAGCCATCGCTCGGACGTCCATTCCCTGTGCTTTTGTTCGGTGTCGTGCGTGGTTTCTTCGCCAAATGATCAAGGATGCTCCTCGATGGCCCTCGCCGAGGAAAACATGCACACGTCCGAGCGATGCCAGGCGGGTAAGAGTGACCTTTGGTGCGCGGCTTTGGGGGGGCCATCGCTCGGACGTCCATTCCCTGTGCTTTCTTCGGTTTCCTGCGTGGCTTCTTCGCCAAACGATCAAGGATGCTTCTCGACGGCCCTCGCCGAGGAAAACATGCACACGTCCGAGCGATGCCAGGTTGGGGGGGCCGCGGGGGTGGGGGCCAAATCCAGGCGCGCAGGCAAGTGCTGGGGGGTGATCGCTGCCTGGGCCCGCACCAAAAAGTGATCACAGCGCAGGGCCGTTCCTTCGCGCAGGCGTCTGTGGATGCATGGAAACATACTCCTCCAGGCCAGGACAATGGATTCTCTCGCTGCTCTGGGCGTGCATGATACAGCGTGTTCTGACGGTTTTGTCGAGAGAAATGCTCCCTCCTAACCGCATGTAAGGTAATTCGAGAGAAAGCCACTAGATTGAAATATGGCCGCCTTCGGTACAACGTCGGGCACACTGAAGGCCAGCGAGGAGTGGAGAGCGGAGACGCGTCATGATGCCCAACGCACACCCGCCTCCACCTGGGCCAAATAGTCCCACTCGCGCCAATAGTACGTGTGCTCCCGCTGGGGCCTGTCCTAGAGGAACCACAAACTGCATACACGTACACTTCTTAGAGGTCTGCGAAGATTTTGAAGACCCACGCTGTATCCCCCGCCCTGGCGGGCGTACCGCGCGAGGGGCGGCGCCAGAGGCGCCGCCAAGGGGGCCCAGGCGCAGATCCCAAAAAATCAGCGCTGAGCTCCGAAGATATGTTAGTTTAGAGCTTTCTGCTTGGATGTCCGCCCAGTAGTTCTTGGACACCAAGTCGAACCCGAGGCTCCCCAGGAACCACTCTGCGACCGTCTGCTCGTCCACATATCCCCTCCAGGTCACCAAGTCCTGCAGAAGGGCGCGCCGCCAGTTGCTGTTGCCAACGAGCTCGTGGACACACTGATGGACTCGGAGGGAGGAGGAATATGTTCGAAAGAGGGGCAGCGGCATTCTGAGGGGCATGACCTGATGAAACAGCAAACTTCCTTGAATCGAGCAAAGCAGACTGAACTGATCAAAATGGACTAGCTTCAGAACAACTTTGCATTACAGTCAAAACGTATATTAAGGACGCGTGGTAACGACGCAAGACCCCTGGAGGCTGAAGTTGAGATTTTTTGGGCGGCGGCGACCAAGGAAAACGGCAAAGGACGGGCCACATAGGCACGCACGCAAGGGTATCCTAGATGAAGGCGCGCGTCCTTACTACGCGCGTTGACTGTACATGCTAAAGGGCATCAGACCAAGCTGGAACGCTGCCTGCGCGTGCCGGCAGGACCTGGGGAGAGCGGGAGCGGCAGCCAACGGGTGGCAGGGAGAAGAGAAGTCGGGAGGGAGAAGGAGAGATGGGCAGGGCGAGGTGGACGAGGAGGAGATGAGGGAAGAGAGGAGGAGGTAGGGATCCAACGCAGATCCAAGACATTCGCGCGGACAGTGCAACGTTTCTGACTATGCAGTTGTCCCAAACTGTGCTTTCGCAATGGGAATTCTTACCTGGCAATAGAACATGGTGATCGGAGACCTCTGCCAGCTTTGCCGATGCGGACGATGCTTGTTACTACGTTCTTGATGGGGTTGCCGCTGATGTGGCTGCTGCTGGAATAGCCATTGCTGCTCATGATGCGGCTGTTGCTCATGTCGTCGCTGCTGTTCATGTGGTTGTGTTGTTGCTGTGGGCATGATTCGGCTGCTGCCCATGTCGTCGTCGCAATCAACTTGGTTGTTACGTTGTTGTGGCCTGTGTTCTGAATCATGCTGTTGATTATTTGTTGTGGTTTCCGAGATCTGATATAGCACAAAAGGGTTCTTGGTGACCTGGGACCTCTACCGACTTTGCTGATGCGGTTGCTGATCGCTGCTCCATTGCTGATCCATTGTTGTTCATGGTGCGGCTGCTGCTGATCATGTCGTCGCTGCTGTTGATGTGGTTGTAATGTTGCTGTGGTCATGATGCGGCTGCTGCTCATGTCGCCGTTGCTGCCCATGCGCCACGGGTGTTGTTTTATGAGTCGTGTTCTTGATATGTTGTTGAAATTAATTTACCATTGCGTAACCGCGATCGGTACTTTGATCCCTTAGTCGTGGAAACACAACATATGTTTAGTGACAGTATTGACGGACACGGGTCCCACCAATAGTGGAAAATCCCCAAACCCTGTCGGCGTGTGGAAGACGCTATTCCGTGGGTCGCCGTCGTCTTCGTCGTGTCATCTCCGTCGTCTCCACGACTTCTCCGTCGTCGTTTTTGTGTTTGTCGTCTCCTCGTCGTCTCCGTCAATCGTCGTCTCCGTCGTCCCCCGTCTCCTTTCCCTGAACCCTCCTCCTCACGCGCACCTCCGAAGCCGACATGCAGCACGTCGTAGCTGAGCTGAAGGGAAGCCCCTTCCCTGTGATCCCTTCCCCGCCGTGGCGGGGGGATCCCTGGGGATCGGGGATCTTCCGACCCGGGTCAATCCAGACCCCGGGTCAGCCAGGCCTTGCAAAATCCTGCAAGATCCTGCACCCAACCCCGGTTCAACGCGAAGGATCCTGCAAAATCCTGCATGAACCTGCACCCAAACACGGGTAAATGCGACCCGGGCCCTGCAGGATCCTGCAAGATCGGGCGCTCTGGCTGACCCCCGTTTGCAATGACCCCCGTCTCAAGGCTCACGAGGAGATGTCACCTGGGGGGTCCCGGGGGTGGGTTAGATACGCATCCCCAACGGGCGGCTCCGGGGCCCACTGGCCATCGCTCGGACGTCCATGCCCTGTGTTTTTGTTCGGTTTCGTGCGTGGTTTCTTCGCCAAATGATCAAGAATACTCCTCGATGGTCCGCGACGAAGGAAAAATGCACACGTCCGAGCGAAGCCAAGCCCAACGGGCGGCTCCGGGGCCCAGAGCAGCCCACAGGACGCGGCAACGGAGTTCCCACAGAGAGGCCGCCGAGGCGGGCCTCTCGAGGGTGGCGACGAGGGCCTCCCGGGAGGCCGAAGAGAAGGAGCAAACGAGGCAAGGGTAGCGGCATGGGTTCCTCTCCCTCTTCCGGAGGTGGCCCTTCTGCGACTCGATCCTCGATCGCCTGAAAGGGGCCCTGAGACACACAGATCAATACACAGAAATCAAAGGATTCCTCATATGTTCCCATCTTTTCTGTTTTTTTGTCTTCCCCCCCGCTTCCCATACTTTGTCCATATCTTCCTGAGAATCGACGATGAATTGTGTCTGTGTGCTTTTCCCCCTCCGTAAACAAACGTTGACGACAGTGACACCCACGGAAACATTTTGCTTTTCTCTGGTACTTCGCCACCGGGCTCCTGCCGAAGGCGCCCCTTTGCAAGCACTTCAGCTTCGGCACCGCCTGACTCCGAGGCTGTGCCTCCCCTCGGAGTCGCTCTGAGGCTCCGCCGCTTCCTCCCTCCTCGCCTCTGCCTAATTCAAGCTTCGCGCGGCCCGCTTAGCTTCGACCGGAAGAGGTGCGCCCTCGACCCGCGGATCAAAAAGTGGTTTTCCTCCTCCTGATCATCGAACAGCGCGGGCGAGCGGCCGCTCCTCGCCCAGGACGAGGCTGTCGTCCGCGGTCCTCTGGCGGCGAGCCCCCCCCGTGGGGGGGGGAGAGGCAGGCGGCCCGGGGGCGGGGCTCCTCGGAGGGCTCGGCAGGCCCCCGGCCACCTGGGAAGCGTCCCGAGCCTTCCCTTTAAGTCGGGCCTGCCCCCCTACAGGGGGGATGTTCGACGAAAAATTAAAGATACCCCGAACATATATTCAAACAATAGTCCAAAAATAGTCTGGGGACTATTATTTGAAGCTTCAGGGGGCCAAATGCGAACCCCTACCCCTACCCCCTGAGAAGCCCCAGGACGCGGCAGAAGTTCCCACAGAGGCCGCCGAGGCGACGAGGGCCTCCCAGGAGGCCGAAGGAGGAAACGAGGCACGGGTAGCGGTATGGGTCCCTCTTCCTCTGCCGGAGTTGGCTCTTCTGCGACTCGATCCTCGATTTAAGTCGGGCCTGTCCCTCTACAGGGGGATTTTCAACGAAAAATACCAGGTGGTGATGGCGCGCGCACGAGCCCTCATCGGTTGTTCGATCCTGCCAGGCAAGTTCCCCGAGAAGTGTCCCCAGGGTATTGATGACGATGACGATGACGATGACAATGACAACGTCGATGATGTCCTCGTCTTCGCCATCGTCGTCACCGACGGCTTCTCAGAAGGCGAGGGCTTCTGAGAATCCCCCGCCGCCTGCTGAGAAGGCCTGGGGGGGGAGCCTCGTGCCGCACCTTCGGACCACCTGTCCAGCCCCGTCGCCCTGGCCAAAAACCGGGGGGGCGGGGGGTTGAAACGTGAAGCGTCGGGAACGGCGACAGATGATCAGGACGAGGAGGAGGAAAAGGAGGTGGAGGACGAGGGGAAGGGGGGAGTAGGAAAAACAACAGAACTGCTATCTACGAAAGGCCTGGCTCGGCCAACGAGGAGGCCTGCCCCCTCTCGCCCCCCCCACGGGATCGACGCCGAGTCCTCCACTGCGTGCACTGCTGCAGCGTCGGGTGCGGGGACCGTGGCCTCGGGCCGCGTGGGGGGGCTGCGACGACGCCTCGGCAAAGCGCGTTCCCCCGGGGAGTACACGCAATAACCCAGGTGGCTCTTTCACAATCCCGTGGTTTGTGGTGGCAACTGTGTTTTCGAACGCGGGATTGTTGCCGCCTCCCGCGGCGGCGACTGCTGCGAGGAAAAGGAAGACGATGAGAGGGCGACGAGGGGGAGCACGGAGGGCGAGGAGGGAGCGCGAGGAGGAGGGCGAGGAGGGGAAAGACAAGGAGAGGGAGAACGAGGGGGATACGGGGAGCACGAGGAGGGAGGGCGACCAGGGAGAGCAAGGAGGAGGGCGAGGAGGAGAGGAGCGAGGAGGGGGAGGACGAGTTTTGTTTTGCCAATCGAAAGCTTTGGGGGGGAGGAGGTGCAGCAGCGCAGCACCAAAAACCCATCGCAGGAACCGTAGGCTCGTGGCGTGACGACCCCCCGCGCTGGCTTCTGGCCCCGCGCGGGTCGATCATCCTCGAACACTTGGCGGTTTCTCGATCGTCAAATCGTATTCGGCAAATTCCTGGGACACTTGAAGCGGCCCCAGGACACACAAATAAATACACGCAAATAAAAAGATGCCCACTATTTTCTGGGTTTTTGTCTTCCCCCCCACTTCCCATACTTTCCCATATTTTCCTCGGAGTCGACGATTAATTGTGTCTGTGTTTTTTCTCCTCCTGAACACTCGCGGCATTCACCTTTAACGCCCGCGGCAAGATCAATGCTGCGCCGGAACAGCACGAGCCTATCGCGTCAATGTCACGCTGGTCGGACGACTGCATCGGCACGTTGCCGTTGAATGGATGCCAGGCGCCGTGTAGTCTTGGAGTAACACGCGTCGTTGAGAAGTGGGCGCGCATGTCGTTTGGTACTCTCTCTCCGCGCGACGAGCAACAATCACGACGGTAGATACTCGCCACCTCTATGCCTAATCATGGGGGTTTTGCTGGACCTCGGGGCATCATCCAAACACGACACGGGATGAAAATCCTGTCCCAACCCGGGGATCTAAACCTCCGGGGGTCCACGTCGTGGACATCACGCAGTCCGGGGTCTGAGCAACAAAGATGGCGTCCACCTCGCCCCAAGACGCCCCCAACGCGTCCCAAGATTGCCTCCGAAAGAGCCCCAAAACAGTGTCAAGACGGCCAGCAAAGTTCCCAAGAGGGCCCCAAGACGAACCAAAAAGGCTGCAAGACGGCCCCAATCGAACCCACGCCAGCTGAAGAGGGCCCCGAGAGCGCTACAAGACGGGCCCAAGGGGCGAAGCACAAACATTTGGAGCTCTGCGCCCCCAAACCCGCAACCGCCAGGGGCCCCCCAAGAAAGCCTCAACGGGGCCAAACGAGCCCCACGCAGGCCTAAAACAGGACCCCCAAACGCCCAGAACAAGACCCAATATGACCCAGTAGGGCCCGTGATTACGGTCTGGGGTTTTCCAGATGGACGCACGGCGCCGACACGCGTCTACGACACCGCCCATCGGAAGAGCGGCACCCAAGGGCCGAGGCGGTGGGCGGTGCGGCGTACGCAAAAAAACACGACGCCTACTGACACAAACGCCAACCAAATCCTCGCAAAACAAACTGATCCCAAAATGGCTGAACATGGTTTCAGAACGGCCCCAAGGCGGCCCAATATGGCCCTAGAATGGCCCAAGAGGTTCCCAAGATGATCCCAGAGGGTCCCAAGGGGACCCCAAGAACGCCTCCAGATGTCAAGAACACGTGACTGTACAGGCTCGGGTGAAGACGCGTGCGCTGGTTAGATGCTTCTGCCAACGACTGTCGGCGAACCTGCGCGAAACACGGATTTCGTTGCGCGATGGCGGAGCGATTTCGCGCGCCCCCAGGATGCGTGCCGAGCTACCGACAGCGCGCGCACAGCCTTCACGCACTGCGACAGAGAACGAGTTATGGGTTTCGTTTTATCCAGAGTTATGGGAACATAATGAATTCTAGTATCTGTTCGTAATATCAATGAAATGGAATAAAGCATGGGTCACGGTCATGGAATTCTACAATCCCACGCGGACCGCGAATTGCCCGAAATGCGCCCCAAACATCTACTGCGCGGTAAGTTTGTTTGATGCGCGCGCTCCTTTTCAGCTTGATCCCTTCTGCGCGCACAATTGCGCAACACCTCACATCGTCAAACAACACCTTCAGATAGCATCCAGGATCCGTCAAAACACTTCAAATAATGCGCGCTCGTGGAACACGGGGCTTGTGAACGTTCTCTGAATCGGCGTTTCGACGTTGGGCGGAAGGGGGGGAGGGAGGGGATGGTCCGGCTCTGGATCTCAGCTTAAATGCCACTGTTTGCAGCAAGCGCGTCCTGTGGGGGAGGCTGCCCGAAGCAGGCGCCGAAAAAACACCCGAGATCTACTCCATGGGGGGGGGCGGGAGGGGGGGGGCGAGGGCCCGCACCGATCGGCAAAATTCGCCGGCCCAACGGGCCAGAGGCGTGCTAAGATCTCGGGTAACTACTTAACAATACTTCTAGTTCGCGCGCGCGGGGCGGCCCCTGGGGGGGCCCCGGACGAAAAGTACCCCGCCCGATCCCCGGCTGACCCCCGGGCGATCCCCAGGGGGGAGGCTATTTTTCGCCACCCCTCACGAGGATCGTGGCCTCCGAGGGGGGGGGGTGCTGCCAACGACTACACCCCCTCCCGCCCCAAGGGGCCCCCAAGAGCCCCCCAAGAGGCCCCAGGGGAGCCCAATACGCCGCCAAGGACCCCCAAGACGCTCCCAAGAAGCCCCCAAGAAGCCCCCAAGACGGCCCCAAGAGGCCCCAAATAACGCTCCAGGGCCGGCGGAATGAGCGAAGCGATTAAATAATGAGTAAAAAACAATCACCTTTCATACTCCATGACACCTGTTGCAAACCATGCGCCCCACACTGATGAGAAGCAGGTTCGCGCGAGGAGCCGGCATGCCGCGCAGGCGTGAGGCAAGGGAAAGGGGGCCGGCGGGGGGCGCGAAGGAGGCACATCCTTGCCGCGAGGCCGCCGAGCAGATCCGTGCGCCTGCCCTGAAGACGTTTGCTTGGCGACGCATGCGGAAAGCAGCTGGAATTCATGGAAAAAGAGAGAGAGAGAGAGAGAGGAGGAGGAGGAGGAGGAGGAGGAGGAGGAGGAGGAGGAGGAGGAGGAGGAGGAGGAGGAGGAGGAGGAGGAGCATGCAAAAGGGCCTGCCCGCCTGACGCCCTGCACGTCCCATCGGGCGCCAAGCACAGACCGGCGGCGCAGGCCGAGCCCCGTGGGGCCTGGCCGTCCGCGCACGGGGCCCCGCGCGGCAACTGCCGCCAGCACGCTGCAGCCTGTCTGGTACGGAGCGCTGCACGCTGCACCTTGACGGCATTGGATACAGTCAAAACCCCTACGCAAGGACGCAAGACCCTTGGAAGCCGAAGTTGGGATTTTTGGGGCGGCGGACGACGAAAACCTCAAGGACGTCAGAGCAAGGACGCAAAGGTACCCTGAGCAAAGTCGAGCGTCCTTATTAGGGTGTTTGGCTGTAAGGAACCGTGGGATAAGGGATCCAGGGTCTGGAAAATGGTGGAACTCCTACCGTGGATTGGCCATTCCGGTGAGGACTCCTCCAGGGCCTGAAGCCTCCTCCGCGCTATCTTTGACAATACATGAGTCTTCCTTTGTTTGTTGAGAGACCATATGAAGTGTTCGTATAGTTGGAACCCCGGGAGCCCACGACGGCCCAAGCAACCTCCAAGATGGCCCCACTACGGCCCAAGAAAGTCCCATGACGGCCTACGAGCACCCCAATATGGCCCCAAAAAGATTGGCAAACGGCCTAGGACGTATTCCCATTGATTTCGTCCGATTTCAATTTCGCCTGGTTCGATATGTCCTGTCCGATTCGTCTGGTTCGATCCGTCCTTTTTGATTGGTCCTGCTCGATCCGCCCGCTGTTCGCATCGTCTGGTTTCAATGTGTCTGCTGCTCAAAATCGGGTTTCGGCTGTTCATGTAGTCCTATGTCAATTCGTCCGGTTTCAATCCATCTGGCGTCAATTCGCCTGCTCGAAACGCAGCCGAGACGGCCCTGCGCGCATTTCGAACGGGTTTCGATTCATCCAGCGTCAAATCGTACGATGTCTACTCGTCCGGTGTCAACACGTCTGGTGGCAATCCGTCCTGAGTCAACTCGTTCAGTGTCAAATCGTCAGGCTTCAATTCGCCAGCTCGAAACGCGCAGTGGGCCTCTCCCGCGCGCATTTCGAACGAACGAAACGGGAGGACGAAACGACAAAAGACGGAACGAAAGAGGACGGAACGAACGAGGACGAAACGAACGAGGATTAAACGATCGAGGATGAAACGAACGAAGACAAAAACGATTCGGCTTCTAAACGCCCGCTCGAAACGCGCATCCGCCCCCGCGCGAGTTTGGAGCGCACGGCGGAACGACAAAGGGGTAACGACAGAGGACGGAACGACAGAGGACGAAATAAAAACGAACTAACCGAACACCGAAACGAACGAGGACGAAACGGACGAGGAGAAAACGAACTATGACGAAAGCGCACACAGCAGAATCCAACGGCGCCCCTACTTCCCTGGAACGAAGAGAAGGAAGCAGAGCAAGTAGGATAATTAGCAGAAAGAAGCAAACATAACAACAGACATCCTCTAAGGTCCACCACAACAGTGGGTGGCAAATCGGACTACCAGGGATGCCCCAAAGAGCGCCTCAGGGAGCCCCCAACGGCGCACATGCTTTCCCTACTGCGAACTGGACAAAAATCGAGAGGGAGAGAAGGAGGAGTAGAAACCAGACCACAACTGCACTAAGTATGCCCGTAAATGCTCGGGATCCCCGCTTGCCCTCTTGCGAATGGTAGTCGAAAACAAGCTGGTAAGCTTAGGTATACAGTCCGCCTTAGGCGCTTCCATATCCCAGGCTTAGGCTCATAGCGCATGAGCAAGAGAGCGAGACGAAGCATGGGATCTGGAGTAAAGAGTAGGATGGGCATCGTCAATGGAAAAGGATGTTTTCCGATCTCGGATGCAAGTAGTGCGCCTCAGTGAGGCACAGTCACATATCTGGCCGGGCCCGGCTTGAGCCAGGCACGGCAGCGGTACATGCTCGATTTATATCTCGCCTTTAACCTTCTCCGTTTAAAGTCGGAGGGGGAGGAGACGAGCAGGTACCGCACTACTATTATGCGGAAAAAACAGTGCTAAGCAGCAGCGGCTGCCTACAAGGAAAGGGGCGCGCGAGTAGCCTCGCTACCGGCGAGTTTCCTCGCTGCTAAAGCGCACCTGCCCGCGGGTTTCCCCGCTGGCTCGGGAGGCAGGGCCGTCCTGAGACGACCTGCCCGCCCTATACGGTGTATGTTTCTTCAGCTCGTGCTTGAAGGATTGCTGGCCGGCCATTACTTGTAGGAGCAACGCGCGGTCAATGCTACCTTTGGTATGACCATCGGCAGTCATATCCCGCGTGTCACACCATTGGACGCTTTCCACGATTCCACGTTCCATCATCTGGCGAATCCAGCTGATGTGCCCAAGCAGAGTACACTCTGTGGGCTTCTTCAGATCCTTGCTAGACAAAGATTTGAAGACAGACTCGGCATCAATAGTCAGAGTGACTTTGATACATAGACCACCCATTTCCAATATGTTCTTCAACTGTGTGGGGGTCAATGGTCCCGAGTGTAGCTCGTGGAGCGTTACAATGGTCGGGTAGCAGTCTTCCAAGTTGTGGGCTGCTGCCAGTGTTTCCGCAGAGTAGCTCGAACGCACCTGCAGTCGATGAGACTTGCAGTATGCGTCCACCAGGTGCACGACGGGTTTCCCCGCTTGCGTGTGGCCACGCCTCAGCAGGTTAGCCCCGCGGATACCATAGCCTTTGACTTCGTCGTCTTCATCTCCGTTGAGACGACGATAGCCAGAATCGCTATGCAGGTCGACTTCTCCTGTTGGAGTCATAGCATGATACACGATCTTCTTCGGACCTGCCTGCAATTTTCTGGTAACCGCGTTTAGTCGTCGTACCTGGATGTTTGTCGGTTCTTGGATACGTTGTAGTGAGACAACATAGACCATTAGCCATACCTGCGTGATCAACGCATAGGCTAGAGCGCCACGAAGACTAACGAACATATCAGAAATTGTCTTCGTCGCCTTGCTTTCAGGATCAGCTCCTGTGAGTTCTGGATGTGTGATAGGACGAAGCTGTTTGATGTATTCGTCCTGGTCGAGAGTGACGCTCCCATCATCGGTCTTGTTGTACCGAACAGCACAGTTCGTGTATGTGTGCTTGTTCAGTTTGCACTTCCCAAACGTATCTTCAACACACTTGACATACTTGTCAATAGCCTCTTCCTTCCCAGTCATATTGATGTCATCAACGTGCTTGGCTGTCAAGAGGTTTGGGCTCATCTCGAATTCTTCGTCGTATGAAGTAGGCTGTAGCCCAAAGCTCCTAGTGATGGACCTGAGCTTCAGCGAGAATGCCCTGGGAGCATCCTTCGTGCCTGTCCCCGGTTTCAGACACCGGAGACAATGCTTTGATTCGTCATATGACTCAAAGCCTGGCAGTGTGCGAAGGACAGCTGCTGACCCAGGTGGTAGTGTGAAACACACCACACGTTCTTTCTCGCCCGTTGCCGCGGCGAGCTCGCCATAGGTCAGTCCCTTCAAGAAAGCCATGTTGATGTCCAGGGAAGCGATGATCCAAGCTTTGTTGCATGCAGCAGAACTTGCGAGCAGTCTCTGGCTTGACCTCCTTGCCGTGCCAGAGAAGGTTTCGACATCAAAGGCTTCGAGGTCCATGAAGCCACGGAGTACCAAGCGTAACCGGATCGTCCTTTCCATTTCGCCCTTTTCGTTCTTGACAAACTTCCATTTGTATACGTAGCGTGACGTCATGATGTTAGACGCCTTGCTTAAGTCAGTCATCTGGAAGCATTTGTTGTCAAGCCAAGTCTTCAGCTCTGTGTAGAGGGCTTTGGAAACTTTGACCGGATTTGCTTGGATGTCGGCCTTCGTGAGTAGATCGTCTTCCTTGACGACCACGGCACGTTTGGAGGCAGCGCTAACGTATACTCGCATAGTTGTGACGCTGCTGTCATCCAACAGTCGGTGTTGCTGCTCGGACAGGACGACTTTGGACATGTCTGCAGTGAAGCAGAGCTCGATATACTTCCCGTGCTCATCGGAGTCCAGATCATATTTGCTATCCGGTTCCGTGGAGCATAAAGGAACGTAGTAAGAAGTGTCCATGTCGTATCCTGGCGGGTGACCCCGCTCCGGCAAGTGGCCTTGCACATCTTCACAGGTCGTAGAGACTAATACACACTGTGTGTCTGTCATGTATGTAGGAACTGTATGCATGACTTCCTCTGTGTCAGCTTCAAGGAGTGTTCTGTCATCCATCAGTTCAGCATACCACGACTTCAAGACAAAAGCATCCAGATCTTCTTCTGTCTCCTCTATGATGGTCGGAAGCCGACCATCGTTGTCCGTAGGAGGCTCCTCAGGAGCAGCTGCTGGAGGTGATTCGCTTGGTGGTGGACCATCAGCGAGTTCCTCAAACTTAGTGAGATCTTGGTCAAACCCAGCAGACGGCTTCCTGGATTTAAGACACTGGATGATGCGTGAGTGTGTAGATCCTGTGATGTCATAGATGTTCAAGGCAGTGCCATCAGCTTCGTAGTAATGAAACCCAGGGGTCACATCGTTATCATAGTGCACTAGTGTACAGCTGTCTGCATAGGGTGCAGCAGGCAGCTTCGTCAGGCTCTTGGCGAGTCGTACAGCAATAACGTTTTCAATACGAAAGTAATTGCGTATGAGATACTGAAGAGCCAAGTGCACCTTAGGTGAAAGTCGGCTCGCAGCAGTCATCTGCAGCCGACCCTGTTTCGTTGGTAGATATCCGAAAGTCATGGCGGGTTTCCCCGCTGGCAGACCGGCAATAAAGGCCAATACTG